TCCCGCCGTTGAGATCAGGGCACTGAGAGTCATCCAGTCTTTTTTAGGCATAATTAGGCATTCTTGCTGTCACCATGTAGCCTCCGCTCCCATAAGCATCCCCTTCGCTCTTCTGATTTTCACCCCACACTTTGATCTCAATGAGACTAGAAGAGAACGATGGAGCTACCACAGACTTAACTATAGGTAGGTATTTTTAAATGAACTGCACTGGATTAACTCTTAAGTTTTGAACAATTCTCCGCTTAATGCCGCAGAAGTGATTTATCCAGTTTCTTCAGCAAGATGACCACAAAACACACCGCTTGCCTCATCAGCATTCGCAGCTGCACAAAATGGCCGTCCACACAGTGACAGAGAGTGGAGATGTCAAATGCTTTCCTTGATACTTGTCTTGTGCCCTTTGGGAATAGGGATTTTTTAATATATATTTAACCTAAAGGTCAATATAAGATGAAAAGCACTTCCTTCATTTAGCACTGTGCGTTAAACACATGAGCTCTAAGATTCGCAAATGTCTCACTTAAACACATTTTAGTGAGAGGAGGCAGGCGACTATTTCTAGCTGGTTGTTCATCAGAAGATGCGCTTTGAAGAATTCAGAGGAGGGCCACTGTAAAACAGGAAACCAGACAGACGTGCCATGGGAAGTGGACAAACAGTACAAACCTGCTAAAGGCAACTCTTTAACAATGGTGTGTGGAACCCAATGATGATAGGGGTTTTTTGTTGTTTTTTTTTTGGGCCGTCAGGTGGTTTGAAATTCACTAAACTATGCTTTGGATCTATAGCAGGAAGAAATTCTCTGTGGCACAAACTAACCTCATTTCATTGCTGAACCGGTGATACGCTGACAACACGTTTCAAATTCACATAAGTTCCTCAAACTGACAGCCGGTGGGAGTCTGGTTGAACAAGGCAGCGTGTTTGATCAAAGCCACTTAACATATCTCCCATTTCACACCACCAGAAAGTTGTCACAAGTCACTTCTCCACGTTTGACAGCTCTCTTTTGATATGCGCCTTAACAACTGCTGATAAAGGCTGTATGCTAGGCTGTTTTGGTCTGGAACTCTGAGTCCAGAGCCCCCTGGACTCTAACAACCATTAACCCTCAGATTAGTTGGCAGTCATGCGTGACAGAGGCCTGCAAACTTCTAAACTATGGTAAAGTCTGAATGCATCGAAAGCAAACGTCTCCAATCTGGGAGCTTTTTTTTTTCCGTTCTTTTTTTCTTAGACTGCTGTGAGTTTAAGGGGGGAAGAGTGCTTTTGTGCGAAAGCATCAGCTGATCTGCTGAGAATGTACACTTAAGTCTTGACGCGAGCGCAGAGGCAAATCAAGCCTCGGTCTGTCCTCCTTTCCGGTGCCATTTTGTCTTGTATCTTGAGACCTGACACCAAAGGCTTTCTATACATGGCCTTTAAAAACAGACTGTTGTGCGGGTGTATCCCTCGGTGACCTTTTGCCTACAAACTCACTTAAGAAGTCGCAATGACCCCACGCTTTTTTCTTCCTGTCTCCAAACCATCTTGGGGGTCTGTGAGCTGAATATGGATGAGTTCAGAGCTCCGGCAGAAAAACTGGGCATAACGGCATCTCTTCTCTATTTAGTTAGCAATCACTGAGTCACGGCGGTCTGAGCTTATTTGGTTACGGTCCGTTATCTGTGGTAATATTTCACAGAAACTGTGCATCTTCTGCTCATCTTTACCTGCCTTTAAGCAACACGCTAGTTTTTAATTAACACTTCAGCCAGCGACTCGAGAAGACAAAGTGCCTTCTTTTTAGAATTAGGAGCATCAGAACCATTCGTAAATATGCTCTGCCTCTTGTTTTTTTTTATTTTTTTTTTTAAATAAGATCTTATTAAATTAGTTGAGAGAAGAAGAATTAGTAAGTGTGCAAGTTTCGGTCTATGTGAGAAAGAGTGAGAACAGTGAGCTAATGGGAAACCCTCTTCATCATATCGCAGGGTGAAGAGAATTCCACACAGGCCGCCCATGTCTGGTCAGCAGGCAGGCCGACTTGGCTCAGACTTTATTTCATCAATTCATTAATCACAGCACTCAAGGTTTTTTTCTATATGCAACATGTCAATAGAAAGCTAAGATTCGTTTGAACTGATTATTGCAAACAAAATCACTTACAATGACAACAAGGGACGCTATCAGAGATCCGGCCCTGGAGCCACTCCCTGATAAAACCCACAAGTGATCTACTGATTTCAAATGAAAATACAGCATGTGGACAGTTCAGTAATGGTGAGACCAATCAGTCATCCCTTTACCTTAAATGCAACAAGGCAAACTGGCATCATTCCCACCATAGGTGCTGTTGGTAATTGGTGGACAGCTGAGTTAAGCTATGTGCCATTTCATGATGGATGAATAAATCAACTTAACACTTCAAACACAGTGTATGCTACAAAATATTATCAGGATTCGCCTCACATGCACAGTTGTGAGCACCAGGGATGTTCGTGGAGTTTGTCAGGATTTGCTTAACAAAGTGTTCCTTTGGATAGTGACGCACTGTGGGGCTGAAGTGGGAGCTACATCCGGCCTTTGAACATTTGGTCACCCTCTTCAGATGAGACCATTTTCTGAATTCAGTGAAGAAAGCTTTCCTCTGTACAATTGTGTAATGATAAAAAAAAACAAGAACAGGACTTTAACAATCATAGCGGAAATTGAGATCCTGTCTGTGAAGATATAGAACAGCTACAAACCAATACCCCAAAATTGTACAGACTCATTGCAGGCTTTAGCTCCCATGAGGGTGTAGCCTTGAAAGAATATCCATTTATCACAAATAGTGCAGCCCAGCTATGCCCACACCTACTTATCAGCTATGGTTCAATCAACTATCATTTTACTGTACCATGGTTAATGTTTGTAGTGACCTGCCGTGTTTAAAGTGCCAACACACTCACTCTGACTCATGGAGAGAGATCAGGGTATCAACAGATGACTTCCGTCAGCATTCTGTTTTTATTGGCAGCAAAGACTATATATTTGAACCCTGGAGTTTCAACCCCAGTTGCTTTCATATAACCTACATGGAGCAACCTATAAGAGCTAGCCTGCAGCCTGGTTAGCTACACGACTGCCCCGCACAGCGTGGGGTTGTGGAACATTTGCACTGAAAGCTGCAAGTGAATGTGACTCTTGTAACCAGTTGACAACAAGGCAAAATTTAGAAACCACCCCATACCATATCGGGTTGAATTTTGTCACATCCACTGTCATCGCTGGTATCGCCGACCTCATAACGGTTTAGGCTGCTTCTGAACATCTGCTTTGTTTTGCACCTGCTTAAACGAAATACTCTTATCAACTGGTAAAACAATCAGACTAAAACAGCGCAGCAGACAAGCTCCCTGGCATTAAGACACCCGAGTGAGAAACGTGTCGATATCCAAACACCTGATCCCACCATTCAGTGGTCAAAAGGACAACGTGTCATCACCTTTTTTTCCATCCGACACACATGAAGTCCAACTCCGTGTCATACTACCAAAATAAATCATGGTAAGCACTGAAAACTAGAGCAGCTTTCATGTCAGCGTGTGTGATTTTAAGATAATATCAAGATCAAAGTGTCTTAATTATGAAGCCAACGTACTGAGAAGCTGGGCCTTTGTTTCAGGGCTGGATTTGCAACATACCAAAGGTTTCTCGTTTTTTAAACTTTTCGCTCACAATGTTTCTCTACTACGTGGAGGAAATTGGTCCCGAATCGCAAAGCCGGAACCAAATACTCATTCAAAAGAGTTTGTAATTCATAGAATGGTTTCTGTTTGTGCACAAGGTGAGGTGTATGAAGCCTTTCTTTACATCACAGGAGGACAGGTAGAGTTTTTACATCTGAAGTAACCTGTTTAGATGTGGATGCACTCACAAAATAAGACCCCTTATGTTGTTATTCAGAAAAGATACAACAACAATAAAACAGAACTTTGTAGCCATAACACAGAGGTGTGGCATTACACTGTATTCTAGAGGTGCGATAGAAATCCGTTTCTGATAAGAAAGACTATCTGGGCTAAATGAACTACTTTTTATTTTGTTTTTGACTGGCCAAACTCAGCCTGAACAGTGGAAAGAGAACCCAGTGTGTATTTGCTTTCAGTTGAGCGCCTCCAAGAAACGTACTGCAGCTGATAAACATGTCTCTTTAAAATTAGCTCTCTCCACTCTTATGGCCGCGAGCACAACAAACTTAATAAAAAGGATGCATATCTCCAGTTGCGGTCAGATCCGAGCAGGACCGAATGAATACACAGGACTGCCAGATGTAAGCCAGATGAAAATTACAGAGTTGATTTGACAAAAATCAACACCCTTTGCCCTATCAATTTAAATGATTGATATTCATGCTAATGGATAAACTACTTAAAATCCACTTTTCAAAAATACAAATCTAAATTCATTTAATTAACACTATCAGTTTATTTCAGTTGTTACATAACACTGCTGCTGACTGACAGGATTGTCCTACACAAAAAATGATTTTTCTCCAAAGACTTCCAAGTGACAAACGTTTGCCAAATGTCAAAAAGAAGAAAAAATAACAATTTTCCGATCCTTAACTTTAAGATAGAAAATAAAATGTGCGTAACAATGGATCAATTACACCGTTTGGACTCTTGAATACACATATTTTGAGTGTCTTTACTCTAACCTATAGTAAGTTCAAGTTGAACAAGCAGACTGTGCTGTCTGCACTGCAGTAAGTCAAAGTAACAAAAAGTCAAGTGGGAAGACATGCCTCAAGACACAGACTAAATAGAAACCTAAATGTGCCCTGCTGTTCTCCAAGCAGTGGGAAATCCATCGTGAGTGAGCTTGTGAATCACTGCTGTGTGGCAAAGACAACAAAGGCACAGGGAAAAAGCTAGGACAATCTGAGACTGCTCATCTCCACAACATATCCCACACTGAGGTGTGCAAATAATCATATCATTCTGAAAACTTGGTTTGGAGGTTTGTCTTACCTGCCCAGCTGAATTTTCAATCACTTGCACCAGTGGGGGCCTTGTTGACATTTTTCAGAGGAATTTGAAGTGCAGAAAAGGGGGGAGAAAGGAACAATGAAACAAAAGCCAGTCAGTGTTTCTTGTGCATTTAATGCCTTTGGAGCTGATGGTAGTGGGAAGGCTCCAGCAGATGTCCAGTGCTAGCCAGCTAGCAGCACCACAGATAGCCCGTGAATCAACAAGTTGAATCCCACATCAGCGGCTAGTACAGTTAGCCAACTGGCTAGTAACTAGCTAGTAGCCACTGTATGTCCCATGTTTGTCAACAAGTGCAAAAACAGGAAAAGCAAACGTCTCTTCAGCCCCTGTTTGTATGTGAAAACATTCAGCTGTATCGCAAGCTTTTTTCCAGCGTCGACGACGAGAGGGGAGACACTACAGGTCTTACACCCTGGTACTGTTAGGTTTGGGCCAGCTAGCTTCTTGCGCTAGCTTGAAGAAAAGTTGGGCAACGGTTGTGTTGTACGAGACAAGGTTCAATCAGGTGGCTAGCATGCTAACCTGTGAGTGTGCCCACTAACGTCTGAGGTAGTCCCGACTGGAGCCAAAATATTTTACTTTTTTTTTATTTTATCTCTATCCGGCGTTGTTTTTACAACCCCACGTCGTCGTCCGTCTCTCTTTTTGTGGCACAATTGTTTCCTTTTAGATCCTAAGTCTGGTCCGAGGTCTAAAAACTTTCAGGCCAAAGTTATAACCGGCCAGGTCTCGACCTTGCAACTCTCGCAAAAACAAATCAAAATGTTTCCCGTGAGTCAGCCTGGGTTGGGCATCCGAAAAACAACAGCAGCACCCCACGAACTGGTAACATGGCAGGTGAGAAATACCAGTTAATTTGTTGCGCTGGCCAACTGGTTGGTCGATATTAGCCCATGTAGCTAGCCAAGTCAACGCTCCTTTCTGGGCAAAGCTAGCTAGTTAGCTTCCCCCCCAGCGACCGCAGTGGCGGTGACTGCCACAGATCAACCCCGCAAAAAACTCCAAATCCACGGAAATCACCGGCTCTCTTCCCTGCGTTGCGTGATCGGAATAAGGTCGTTCGCCAGTGCTGCACTGCAGTGTGAAGGCAAACCAGCCCGTCCTGTCGGTGTGCGCCGACTATTATTCCAGCAGAGCATCCGACGAAAGCAGGAATCATCAAGTTGTAGAATCCATTATCGGCAAAGTGGGGTTTTCTCGTTTGGAGCTGCGTGTCACGGGCGGCAGGAGGGTGGGGGGGGGAGAGAGAAAGGCGAGGAGCTGCGCCCGAATGCAGTCTATGCGCACGATCCTGCCCTGATACCGGAACAAGCTCGCGGCAACATGGCTGCTTGCACCACGACTGAGAGAGAGGAGCACTGGGGAGAGGGAGGGAGGGAAGGAAGGAGGAAGGAGGGAGGACTGCGCTCGGCTCCGCTCGATTTTTTTCTCCGAACCCACACAGCTCAACCTGACAGACTTGGCCGCCATTCCCCAGGTGGGGGGACGGCAGGTGCATGTGCCCGGCACAACCTCTAGCTTCAAGAGTTAAAAACGCAGTTTTGCTCTGTATAATGGAGCCCTTACTTAGATGTGTTTCCTTTCTTGCTTTGTGCATAATTTATGCCCACGTTTGAGATGTGTTTTGTGCTTAAAGCTAGAAGAAACAACAAGGAAAAAGCCCAAATATGAAGTTTGCTGAATCCCAGCGTGCTGTGGGTCAGGACACAGAGCTGATGAGGAGTTTGAGAGCTCAGCATCACATCACATCATCAAGGGTTGTAGATATTTGCTCTTGCTCTTTCATCATTTTAGCTTTAATCTGCAGCCAGAATATAAGCATCATCTAGGAATTTGTTTTAGAAGCACAGATCGCAAAGAGAATTCCATCATTCCCTCTTTGAATTATTGGAAGAAAACACAATTTTGATTACTTATATGGTTTATTTTGATTACTTAGAGGAATGAGCCAAGCCAAAGTATTAAGCGCAATGCCCCCCCCCCCCTCCCTCTGTCTTGTGAATTTAGTTTATCAGGATCAGAAAAATATAGTATAGAATAACTTGAAGTAAATTTTTTTGTATGCCAGATGATGTCTGCTATTGCACTTTTATCTAGCTTGTAATTGGCCACCACAGCCGGAAAAATGAAATTGTGCATATATACCCCTGTTGTTCCTATGTGTGGCAGAGAGATGCTGACAGTGGGCATGGACATTTTTAAGCCTGCATGGCACCAAACCACAGACCACCCAAAATGCCACCGCGGCCAGTGGAAATAGTGACGTTTGGACTCGGTCAGCTTGGAGGTCAGCAGTTTCGTGATTTGAAAGACTCACACAATGTGAGGATGTCAAGCAGAATATAAAAGAAGGATTCAGGAAATGAAGGGGTCTCAAAGGCTAGTTGGGAATGACTGGGAGGACATCCAACTGGCAGGATTTCCCGATGAATCAAGAAGGGGGGGGGGGTCACCTCCCTTTTGATAGTAGGAGGGTAGGTACATCATGACAGGAGAAATTTCCTCCAGTTTTAACGTGCAACTATCTTTTTTGGATACAGAAACATCTAAACTCTTTGACACCACAGCCATAAGTTGCTGGTGAGCCATTTTAGCAAGTCCAGAATTGCAGAAGTGTCACCATCTGCAGGATGTCTCCTTATATTACAACGTCCTGTGTCCATCTGTCTGCCTACGGAGAGGGCATGAAATGCTCTGTAGGAGGCTGGACCACATATTAACTGAAACCAGTTTCAGTGTATTTCAAGAAGCCTCACTGTGAAACTAACTGTAGACATTCAAATAGTGACAAAAGATGAATCAAAAGGCAAATCAAAGCACGTCTGCTTGTAACATTATGAACACAGAGCTGTCTAAAAGAATCAAGAGAACAAACCATATACATCTTGATTTCCTGGATTTAATAAACAACCCAGTTTCTTTTTGTGGCATAATTATATGGGTGATGTTTATGAGGGGGCCACCGAACAAGTATGTTAGAAGGGGTCGGATCTGCTTACTTACAAAAATGGAGCGGCGGGACAAGGGCAGAAAAAGGGGCAATCCAATCCAAGCCAGCCAGGAAAGGAGCAGAGTACATTCACAAATGAGTGAGTGCCTTTGCTTCCCTTAGCAGTCCAGAGGGTGAAAATCCGGCATAACCCTGCAAGTTAAAAGGTGCTGAGTCAGAGTTTGGGCACAATTAGAGCGATACAGGCCAAAGCCAATGGGAGGCTTTTGAACAGGCGACCACACCGAGGAGAACACAGTGTCACTGAGTGATTATATGGGCCTTCGTATTAACAAGCTAACTACATAATCTCTAACTCTGAATACATCCGGCTCTTTTATTTTCAGGAGTTGAAGTCAAACAAGCAGGCAGATGGACAGTTGGGTGTCATCACATCTAAAAGCAAAGAGGGCAGACCGCTTTGTTTTTCACAGACTATTTTTGGAGGAAGCCGGGCTTTCCTTTGCTTCGCCACAGGAAACGCCTCACAAAAGGTGAAATCACTTTCAGGTTTTGTTTTCCAGAAAGAAAAGCCCGAGGTGTGCCGCTGCCTCGAACGGGAGCCCACAAAAAATGACAGCTTGACGTGTTCCTGGGTCTGTGGTTATTACTGTATATTCATGCTGTGACGGCCAAAAGTCACCAGGAAGGTGAGGACATCATCAACCGAATGAAAAGTGGTTAATCAGACTATTTAAAAAAAACACACAAAAAAAAACATGGTGCGAGTAGGTGAGGGTTTCCGGTTTTTGAAAAGGATAAAAAGGAAGCAGTAAACAACGTCTTTACTTAAAATTAAAATGAGAAATGTTTATTATGCGTGAGAGAAAGCCAGTTAAAAATGCAACAGCTTTGAACAACGTGACCGGTCAAAATACAAATAGGCTGATGCACCCCTAACAATCAAAGTAAGCTGCTCCAAAAGCACCAGACAGTGGAAGAAAAAGCTTTACATTTATGTACAGAAAAATAATCTACACTCTCAAATGTCAAAAATCTCCCGCTTGGCCTCACATGGAGACGTTCTAAATTGGACAGGAAAACTTTTCACAGTAGACAACACAAGACGATAAAGAGCACGCTCAGCAAAAAAAAAAAAGAAGTGAAAAGGCTTCAGGCGTTAGGGATTGACCTCGGCTTTAATGCTCAAAGGCCATGGAGCAGCTCCTCCACGCTGACGGTTGTCAGGTCGGAGTAAAAGTTGCCCTCGTTATCTCCGCCTCCGAACACCAGCAGGCTTCTTCTGGTGGAGCCGCTGTCTGTCTCCTCCTTTGAAAAACAATGGCGCGGGGCTGTTTCCATGGTGATGATGGAGTGCCCTGCCCTGGGGATGGAGAGCTGAGGCAGGGTCACCTCTGTCCAGCGGCTGGTTTCTAAATCAGAAAATCTCAAGTTAGTAGAGTAAATTCTTTTATTTTCCATTAACACATTTATTTGTCAGTAATGTAAGAATGTAAGAAGATAATCTGTTTCTCTGAAGTTATTTTGTTGCTTGTGCAACAGAAGATCTACAGACAAACTCCTGTAGCTCAGGGCAGAGAAAATGTATACCAAGGCTTTGCCAAAGTACTTAGTAAATATCCAGGCAGGTTGTCTGTGCTACATTTGTTATTGTCCACACTTGGATGTCTTTAGGTTTGTTTGTTTTTTTGGCACAGTTGACCTCAAACAGAGTTGCTCTTCACTATTCAGGCTTTACACAAAAACCAAAACCCCACAGCCTCCATCATGGAGGTGATCAGAGGGCTGGGATCCTCCCTCCCTGGCCTGGGCCTCTCACCTGTGTCAAAGACGAAGGTGTCGCTGAGGGCGTTGCTCCCGTTGTAACCACCGTGGATCAGGAACTTTGTGTCTGAGAGCACAGCGCTGCCGTGCCAGCTGCAAAGCACACACACAGGCCTACTTTGAGACAGGCGCATTTCGAAAGTTTTGCGGGGCTGATGTGTGATAGGTTGAGTACCTTCGTGGGGACGGAGCTTTGCCACTCATTTTGACAGCAGAAAACTCCATCAGACCTTAAAAAAAACACAAGATCAGGTTGAACTCTGAACGAAGAATGAATTGTGTCTGTGTCCGATATGGGTGGGTTTCGGGGGCTTACCGAGGTCCAGCATGTACATGTCATTGTAGCAGACGGGGGTGTCCCACCCACCAAACACATAGATATATCTCTCCTGCATCACGCATGCAGAATGCCTAAAGGAAATCACAGAATGTGGACGAGTTAGACTGAGCAATAAAAAAAAATAAAGTTTCAAATGTGTTTCTAGGAAATCTTTGGCCGGAGCCTGGTTACCCTGAGCGAGGGGAGGGCTTGTCTCCTGTGACGATGGGCTGGTACCAGATGGAGAGGTGCGGATCAAAGATGTACAGCGAGTCGCTGCAGCCGTCGGGCTCGGGGTTGGGGAGGGGGAACACCCCCCCCAACACGAACAGCTCACCCCGGAACATGCTGCAGCTGTGGTAGGCCAGCGGGGGAACTTTACCTTGAGCCTCCACCATGCTCCACTTCCAGCTCTGCGTGTCCAGGATGTGGACATCGTTGAACCACTTCTTGTTTTTGGAGCCTCCAAACACAAAGATCCGCCTGGAGTCGGGGTCGTAGATGGCGGTGTGGCCGATCCTGGCTTCAGGGGTCGGTCCCTCTGCTAGAGTTTCTGCAGCCACCCAGGACATGTCCTCTGATGGGAAGAAAAACAAAAAAACTTTCAGTAAAATCTCTTTTCACCTTATTGTACTTTTTTTTTTTTGTTGTTGGCCCACTGACCTGTGCAGAGCTTCCACATGGGGTCTTTGCAGAACTGCATCCTGGCTCCCTGCCCTCCAATCAGGATTGCTGTCTGAGAGTCGATGGGACATAACGTCTGACCCCAACGGCCGGAGGGGTTAACCAGGGGAGCTGCAGGAAAACAGGGAGTTGAACTATCTCACACGGATGGGCTTCCTCAGAGTGGACACCAAGGTTTGAGTTACACCATAAAAAGTCAGCCTTTGGTCTCCATCTAGGTGTATCACAGCCCATATTTCGATGCAAAAATATCAAAGTATTCTTCCAGAATGAGGATGCCGGCACCGCTAACCTAGTATCTGAAACCCACTGACACCTATAAGAGTCATTCCCTGCCCATGAATCACGCACCCAAGTCTATTTTCAAATCCTGCTGTGAAAACTTCTGACAAACAGAAAAATAAATCTTCTGTGACCTCAGGTGGGCAGTGTGCATCAAAATATCATTATTGGGACTCACACAAGTATGTAAAAACGAAACAAAAAAACAACCAGAATGGTATGAAACCATTCACACCATTAGAGCTAGCTGCCCTGTAAAATAGCAGTAAGAAAGACTTATTGAGAGGGTGCACGCACCAGTCTGTGTGGGCGTCTTGGCCTGCCTACTCTTCGTCCTGGCTGCGCTCAGAGGAGGCGTTCTTCCCACAGTCCCTTGTGTCTCTCCATTAACTGTGAATCAGGAAAAAGAGGAACGGAATTAAATATGTAACAGGACACAAAGCTGGATGTTTTTCTGTAATCAATTATCATACCGTCCCAAAAAAAAACCAATTTGTACAATGACTGATGTTTAAAAATGGTCCCTTACCAGCTCCTTTTGTTTTCGAGGCCTCTGCTCCAGTTGTAAACAGCCTCTGACTGATTTTACTTTGACCTTTCACCTTTCGAATGGGTGAGGACTTCTCCTCAGGACCATTTGGACACATGTTTTCTTCTTCCCCCAGCTTTGTCTCATCATCATCATCATCATCATCACCCTCATGTTTCACTGTTCGCCTTCTCTTTTTCTTGCTGTTGAGCTCTCTGGCTGCAAAGGGAGCAGTCACCTCCTAACGGGACACAGTATTCACAATCTTCTAATTGCCGAAACGTGGTCATGTACAAGGAATTTGTTATGATATGGTGTCTAATGGCAGCAAGCATAGACAGGGAAACACAGGTAGAGATAAATAAAGTAAACAAAAAGATATTAATATAACTAAAAACAGTCTTTGCTAACAAAAAGAAAACAGAAATTCTTTGAGTCGTTGTATATGGCTTTGGCAGGAAAATAGCTTCTTTATGTCACTCCTGGTGAATGTGAATCCATATCAGGTTACCTTTGGGGTGTATTCTGTTACAGCCATGATGAGCTCTGGTTCTGAATTTGACTGCAAGGCAAAATAACAACAACAGAAAAAAAGTTAGAAAAAGCTATTACATCAGCCCGTGAGGCTGTCTATGATTAAACTTTTCTTTTACCAGGATTCCTCCCTCCACAGAAACATTCAGCCTGACGCTGTCTGTCCATGTCTCCTCCTCCCACTGCTCCCAGCACAGACACCTGCAGGCACAACAGGAATGAGCCTTACACATTCATCTTTTATGGGTTTAAAAAAAAAAAAAAAAAAAGGTATGACATAGTTGACATATAGGGTCAAATTCAAAGTGTAGCTTTAAGCGAACCTACTTGTTGTAAGGAGTGAGTTTTCCGATAGTGATGGGGAAGCGGTCCCAGTCGCAGAGCTCGGCGTTGACGCAGATCCTCTCTCCCCACTGGCCGCTGCTGAACAGCACCACCTGCCGGACAGAGGGGGGAACGGCAACAGATACCCTGGACGACCCGTCAGCACTGACAGAAAAAACACACAGAAAAACAAAGAAACCCGATGAATTATGGTACCAGAAAGACAAAACCAGGGCTTAAAGAGAAATATCAATTGGCATGTAGTTTTCAAAAAGCAGAGAAGCGAATAGGCGTGACTTTCTCTATTGCTATATTCAAGAGGCGCCATTAAGGAGCCAACTCGTTCACGTTAAACGACATAATGCGTGTAAAGTCAATGACCACGTTCCATATTCACACTATGAATATAGTGAGTATGGTTTTAATAAGAGATTCCTACCTGATTAACATTTGAGGCGGACCGTTTACTCCAAAAACGGCATAAACACCAAACCCTTCCATCTTTACGAAGACGTCCGAGAATATGTTTTTTCCAAAAGTCCCTGTCTATTCTCTCCCTTTTCTCCACAAACGCAAATATTTAAAAATACAACATAAAAATCTTGGTTTATTCCCTCTTTGCACTTTCCTGCTTTTAAAGGCTCTCCCGCCAGCGCTGTGTACAGTGTATGAACTCCGCGCGAGTTCTGGGTTCTCAGAGAGCAAAAGCCAATCAGAAGGCCGAACTTAGTGACGACACTTGGGCGTAGACGCTGCGTTCAAAAGCACTGTATTAATTTTAGTGGGAAGACGTTTCCGAACTATAATTGGTTAAATAACGAAAAGTACACAGAAACAATCAAAACAGTGCTAGAAAGAAAAATCAATTATATGTTTCCAAATAATTTGGTAGTAAAATGTGACGGCAAAATGAGCTTTAACGGTTGAATCATGATCATATCTTAAATCCCCTTCGATATCTATTACTCTAATCACCGAATTATTACGCTGGTTTTCTATTCATTTAACTTCTCCATGTCAAGTCTAAATATAAGTCATTTGTGTTACAACCATTAACTCTGCTTCATTTTGAAAGGGTTCAGCAACAAAAAGTTTAGCTCGTTCTTGAATGCACCCACGACAGCTCCAGCTCTCGAAAAGCATTGTGGGATTGGATGCCGGTCAAAACCTTCTCGAAGGAACTGCAAAAATGATGGTGAGTGAGTTAGCATTACTGCTCAGAATTAAACATAGAATCCGTTTCCATCCATTAGTTAATCGAAGATCGTTTGCAACCCTGCACACCGTATTGTTGACTGAAAACCATCGACAATGTTTGAGAGCAGTTATTTGATTTAAATGTTGTTGAAAAGGTTTTATTGTTAGCCAGATAACGTTAGCATCCCGTTATCAATGGGCGTATGGGATGCTAATGGTGATGGCAGCAAGTTGATAGTAAATATGAATATGATTAATTACGAACATATTCTAGAGCTCGTTTATAATGTGTTTTATTCACAGTAAGTATATTTTAGTAGGGCTAGGTTCTATTTATGTAGTTTCATTGTATGCCTGTCTGCATGGTAGCATTTTGTGTTTTTTTTCCCCATATAGCTTGTTGAAGTGTTTGTATAGATTTATTTTGAATTGTAAAACCGTCGTTCTTTGTTAAAACTTGCAAATTAATAGTTATAACGTAATTGAGGTTATAAATGGACATCCGGGTTGTAATGATGTCAGCTGTTTGTTTAATGGACTGGACAGTAACTCATCTTATGGCTGATGTACCTGTGTGCTCTTGTATATGGTGACCTGCTGATATAAGTGTATAATTACACCATTATTACAGTGTCATTTTAATGATTTATGCTTTGGGTCCACAGTACTTATTGTGTCTCTTTTCTCCCATAGCCCACACCGGTTATCCTGCTGAAGGAGGGGACAGACTCGTCTCAGGGCATCCCCCAGCTCATCAGCAACATCAATGCCTGCCAGGTCAGCAGATGAGATGCTCTATGGATTTTAGTGTGCTTGTTTTGCTAGAGATGAGCAGTTGTTCTTAGTCTTTAAGTGAACCTCTTTTATTTAATTGTTCTCTTTTGCAGGTGATTTCAGAGGCTGTCAGGACCACCCTGGGCCCCAGGGGGATGGACAAACTGATGGTGGACAGCAGAGGTAAGGGGAAATTATTAAGAAAAGAGCAGAAGCATGATTTTAGAAAGGTTTATGGGCTAAAGAACAAAAACAAACAAATGTGAATGTTTGTGTGTTTCAGGGAAAGCCACAATTTCTAATGATGGGGCCACCATCTTGAAACTGCTGGATGTGGTTCACCCTGCAGCCAAAACTCTGGTGGACATTGCTCGCTCCCAGGATGCTGAGGTGACATGCTCGTTTGGTTGAGCCAGTCAGTGGGCCTTTTGAAAGCTCATCCAAATTTCAGTCTAAATGAACTTTTTCCTTTCTGGGGACCCATCTCAGGTTGGGGATGGCACTACATCAGTCACTCTCCTGGCAGCTGAGTTCCTGAAGCAGCTGAAGCCGTTCGTGGAAGAGGGCCTGCACCCTCAGACCATCATCAGAGCATTCCGCACAGCCACCCACCTCGCCGTCAACAAGATCAGGGAGATCTCCGTCTCTGTGAAGAAAGATGACAAGCAGTAAGTAACTCAGTTCTGCGCGGTCAAGCTGCGCGCTGTGTTTTATCTGACAATGGTCTAACAGTTGGCGTTTTCCTCTCAGAGAGCAGAGGCAGCTGTTGGAGAAATGTGCCGCTACCGCCATGAACTCAAAGCTGATCGCTGGTCAGAAGGGCTTCTTCTCCAAAATGGTGGTGGATGCCGTCATGTCTCTGGATGAGCTGCTGTCTCTGAAGATGATTGGCATCAAAAAGGTGCAGGGTGGAGCCCTGGAGGTTAGTATTTAACCTTTCTGATTCAGATAAAAGAAAGACATTGTTGTGCATGTTCACAGTAGCATGTCCTTTGCTGGGTAACTTCTAGATTTTGCAGATGCTGTTTGTGTTTTCGCTCATTTCAAACCGAAACCTCTGCTCTGCGTGTGCACAGGATTCCCAGTTGATCTCTGGGGTTGCGTTCAAGAAGACGTTCTCCTATGCCGGGTTTGAGATGCAGCCCAAATGCTACGAGAATCTGAAGATAGCTTTGCTGAACGTGGAGCTGGAGCTAAAGGCTGAGAAGGACAACGCAGAAGTCCGCGTGAAGTCAGTGGAGGTGAGGTCCTCAAGTCAACAAAACAGCCTCTCTCAGAAGGCTCTCTGTCCCCTCTCTGCCTCACAAACTCCCCCGTGTGTGCTGCAGGACTACCAAGCCATTGTGGATGCAGAGTGGAACATCCTGTATGACAAACTGGAGAAGATTTATCAGTCCGGGGCCAAGGTGGTTCTGTCTAAGCTACCCATCGGGGACGTGGCCACACAGTACTTTGCAGACAGAGACCTGTTCTGTGCCGGCAGGGTGCAGGAGGAGGATCTGAGGAGGACCATGATGGTAAGACAGAGAAAACCCAACAGCGAATACACAATCACTCTGGGGAAATAAACCTGCAAATTATAATTTGGCAAAACACCACCTTGTATTGTGAATCCCCGAAAAACCTTAGGATTTAGTAGGGGTAATTATCCCACATTAGGATACAAAGGCTCACAGAAACCCTCCTGTTTGAGTGATTTTTGCTGACTGCGTCCATCAGGCCTGTGGAGGCTCCATCCAGACGTCTGTAGGATCCCTGACCGATGACGTGCTGGGACGGTGTGAACTTTTTGAAGAGGTCCAAGTGGGAGGAGAGCGGTAAGAGTCGATGAAAGGAGGACAGAGAAATATAACCTAACCCTGTAAAGGCCTTTTTCTTAAAGCCATATTCCTGTGTCATATTTTGTCTCCAGGGAGCAAGACAGACTTTCTTTGCATACCATCAGCCGCTTAACAGAAACCTTTTAGTCATTCAAACATCTTAGCTCAATTTGAATAATGTTTATACGCACTTTGTTTCTCAAAGACACATTGTACTGTACTTGTACAGACAACTAGATGATTCTAATAGCTGCCTCCTCTGTCCATCTCTGCATGGTGTGCCTTGAAAAAACTCGACTTCCTTTATTCAAGACCTGAATGTGGAAAATAATTGGAGAAATAGAACTTTTGCTTCCTTTTCAGGTACAACTTCTTTAAGGGCTGCCCCAAGGCGAAGACTTGCACCATCATCCTGAGAGGAGGAGCAGAGCAGTTCACAGAGGAGACGGAGCGGTCACTGCATGATGCCATCATGATCGTCCGCAGAGCCATCAAGGTCAGATGACATTCAACAGGAAGCGTGAGGATAACAGACCTGTGGTAGAAATGTGTGCACAGAACTGTAGTGCTCTGGCAGCACTTGTGTTTAAAAGAACAAGTGTTTAAAAGAAATGCTCTCCAAGAGCATTTCAGTTGGTTAGAAGGAGAATATAAAGATAATTAGATTCTCCTCTTGTCTCAGCCTGTATTATTAGTGAAGATTTTTCAGTACAGAAGTTTGGCCTGACATATCTGAGTGTTATAACTAATGTATTACACCAATCCATTTGCAGAACGACTCCATCGTAGCGGGTGGAGGAGCCATTGAGATGGAGCTGTCCAAGTACCTGCGGGATTACTCTCGGACCATTCCCGGGAAGCAGCAGCTGCTGATCGGAGCGTACGCCAAGGCCCTGGAGATCATCCCCCGACAGCTGTGCGACAACGCCGGCTTCGACGCCACCAACATCCTCAACAAACTGCGTGCCAAACACGCCCAGGTACAGATCAAAAGCAGTCCTAACCTCACCCATTAGGCGCCTCTGAAGCCCCATTGACATGGCATGCGCTGCCTCTCCCTCCACAGGGCGGCATGTGGTACGGCGTGGACATCAACAACGAGGATATCGCCGACAACTTTGCCGCCTGCGTGTGGGAGCCGTCCGTGGTGCGGATCAACGCCCTGACGGCCGCGTCCGAGGCCGCCTGCCTCATCCTGTCCGTAGACGAAACCATCAAGAACCCCCGCAGCAGCGCAGACGGCCCCCCGGGCGCCGGCCGGGGCCGTGGGCGCGGGAGGCCCCACATGCACTAACGGCAGCAAACCCCCACCCCCGTTATACCGCAGCATCAAAATCCAAACGCCGGCAGGGGGGGGGGCTCCCTCCAGCCGACAGCGCCAGTAAACCTGCATTTGGGTTTTGATTCTTAAAGAGTGGTGTTGTAACTCAACGCGCACAAATGGCAGGTGTGGTGGAACAAAACAGTAGTCCATTAGACCTTTTCACCCACATTCTGTATTCCTGTTTTCTTACTGATGCTTCGACCCGCTAATGTTAACATTTCTCCACCTTGCCGCCCCACCGGGAAATGTTGCTGAATGGCCCTCTGCCAGCTCCTTCAGGTCACCTGACCTGAAGGAGCTGGTCAGAGATCCAGCCTGGTTTTGTTAGGATACAAACTGTTAAATGTGGACAAATAAAAGCACTGATGGTCAGCTCTGAGGCATCTGTACGTCGCGCTGTGGCAAACTATTTATTGGAATTTTCTCATCAATAAATTCACAGCTGAAATCTGTTCTGAGAAAGTGTTCTTACTCAGCAGTACACAAAATGGATACACCCTTCACCAAACTGCACAGTTTGAGGCTGATCATGTGACACAGACATGGAGAGTGTGTTACAGAAAGCACGATTCAGCCTGAACAGTAGTGTGTGGATGTGGCACATCATGGGAACGGCCTGTAACCAATGCTGCCAAATCTAATAACATTAAGACCCAATCCCAGTTCCTCTGGTCATTTAGTTATAGAAATGTTCTTTCACTTACAGAAAAGGCCGTGTCCGCGTCTGCATCGGCGGGCACTGGAATTAAAACTAAAGACCCAATCACATTCTACAGCAGGCTGAGCAAACAGAAGGATTTGGATGAACAGGGTGGTCAATTAAAACAGCATTGGTATTCTGAATGCTTGGAAAAAAAAAAATAACTGCCTCAGTTTTTAAACAAAAGTGTAAGAGATGCATTCACTGATGCTCTGCCTCACTTGTGAGGGTCAACACAATAGCTCCTACATAACCTCCAAACACCCATCCCTTGCTACGATATACAACAAAAAACATTGCCTGTTCAGCTTGCAATTCAGGGTTTCCACCACCGGGTGGAGCACTACCACGCCACCAGGCACACTCAGTCCAGGCTTTCCTCTCTCCTTGTGCATGTTGGATTACAATGAGGTATCAAAAGCCATATGAGATATCAGTTTTTCAATTTGGCACTAAACACGAGGGAATCAGACTCTAGGTAGTTACTGTGGAAGGCAGTCTTTAGATTAGAAATGCTTAAAATCTTCAGAGAAATGAATCCAAAGAAAATTTCAGTCTTTGTGGAATTTCATTGCAGGAAGTGATTTACACAGTGACGGCTTCAAACGGGGAGAGGAACTCCCCAAAAATGGCCGACGGTCCTCTTGTGGATGCACAGTGGGCTTTCTTCTATTTCTGAGCTGTTGGGAAGACTGGTTTTAAAAAGTTTATCTCGTGATCTCTGCTCCAATAACAACGTTTGAACTTAGTAAGTTTTTTTATGAAAGCAGTGTCCCCCACTTTTAAAGGTGCAACCGTTTGCTCGGATCAGCTTTGAGCGGTTTCAAGTCTTCTTCTCTTCCGACCCCTCCTCAGTTGGACAGGAAGTCTATGGAAGCCCGGACGGAGCGGTTAGACATGACGTCCACGGCTGTAACTTTGATCTCTGTGTCTCCGAACTGCATGGTTGCTCTGATCTCCCTCCTCTCCGGGCCTCCCGCTCCTCCCGCTCCTCCTGCTCCTGCTCCTCCCACCGCTCCCGGCGGCGGGACGGGCTCCGGCAGGTCCAGAGTTATGGTTCCGCACTTCCTGACCCCGGGGTCGGAGATGTAGGTGACGTCATCGGTGGCGCTGCAGTAGATGTTGATGATGATCTTGCGCTGGGCCGCCCGGGCGGGCGTGTAGCTGCGCCTCACCACCTCGCCCAGCGCCACCGACTGGTCCACCGACACGAAGCGGTCCAGGATGTCCGTGCACCACTCCCGCCCGTCTTTGAGGAGGAGCTTGTCCCGAGGGTGGCGCCCCTCCACGAACCGGTTCAACACCCCGACGCCGTAGGTCAGAGGGCATCGCCTCACGCGGACCTGGGGAGAAAACGGGCCGTGGGGTCAGGCGCGGAAGCCCCCCCTCCCACAGAGAGCGGGGCTCCGGCCCCTCACCACAGTGGGATCCAGCCCGAAGAGCACGGCGCCCTTCAGAATGGTCAGCCCGACGTCGTGGGGGATGATGATGCGGCAGGTCCTCCCCAGAGCCTTCTGGACCGCTCGCTGCAGCATGGGGGACTCGGCAAACCCCCCTACCAGGAACAGGAAGCGCACATCTCGCACCTCCGGCTTTGCCATCAGCTCCTCTGCAAGATGGAGGAAAACGTACCGTCACACTGAGCATGGCCACTTTTTGTACTCTTTGAAGAATATTGATTTCTAACTCAACACCCTTTATAACCCTTCCCTTTCTTTTATGGCCTGTCAGGCCAGCAAAGCTAAAAAATAGGAAACCGGTGGAACGTGGCTGATTTAAAACAGACACAAGAGTTCTACGAGGCAAAGGCTGAAAAAGGTCCCAAAATGAGGTCATCCGTGGACGTCTTGAGTTCATTTGGTATGGTTTGGTTTTTGGTCAGCAGCTGTGCATGAAATAATGATACATCATCTCTGCAAGAGAAACTCAGAAGCAGCTGCTTAGGCCTGAGCAGTAGACAGTCCTGTGTGAGCAGCAGTTTACTGCTGTGACGCAGGCAGAGCAAACCCAGTTCTGCTCTCTGGGTCTTGTGCTATTCAACCTTTTTTTTTTTTATGGACAGTGGCTTCAGTTATCAGGACAGGTGTCTGTGTAATTTTGGGCAAAGCTTGTGAAGGACACTGCATCACAACCACAGGAAAGGCTGTCGGTTCCTCTAAAAGGGCCATAACGGGCCTCCTTTAAAGGCCATCAAATATCAAACGTGAATGATGGACTTCCTGAGGTGGAGTTTTGAACCCAAATGCCCACATATCAGATCCACAAGGGTGCAACTTTGAAACTTTCGCCTCCATAATGTATATTTTTCACCACAACCCCCAGGATTTTCCTGGTCCATACCATTAAAACTTCGTCTGAACCTCTTACATTGTTCCCACAACTGGGGATGATGTATTTTCCTGCCTGAGCAAATCCTTAAAACGAACCCCGGCTGTGTCCATATCTATCTTCGTGTGTATCTCACCTATGTGTTTGACTATGTTGATGATGGTGGGCTGGAAGAGCTCGTTCATGGCCTCCTGTGTCAGCCGTAGCATCCCCTGGGACGACCACTTCACTATGTTCATACTGACACGCACACGTAAAGGAGACAGGGATAGTTACAAAAATCCCAATAAACCCAATAACCAGAATAAGACAGCTGACAGCCACCCCCCCATACACTCACTTGCTCCTTCTCAGGGCAGCCTCCACGCTCTGCCCTCTGTGTCTCTTGTAGTAGTCGATAAAGGAGAAAGGCAGCGAGATGTTGAGGGCGTTGGCTCTGCCTGGCGACGCCGTCCGTTTCCTCGCCTCAAAAGCAATGGTGAGGTCCACCCAGGCGGCCGGGCGCTTTGCTTTGAAGCTCTGGATGAAGTCCTCCCCGAAGATCTGACAGAGCATGGCTTCAAAAGCCAGGTCTACACCAACGGCACCATAGGGGCCACCTGGAATAAAATCCTGTCAGCTCTACCAACCCATGAAAACGAGTTTATGTGTGCATGTCCTGCAAAGTGACAGACCCGAGGCCTTGTAGAGCTCCTTCAGTGTTCCCTGGGGCTGCTCGATCTGATGCACTGTCAGGTCAACTGTCCCCCCTCCACAGTCTGCAACCACGTACCGGTCTCCTACAGAAAGAGAGCAGGAGTACGGACGGTTTGGGATTTTTCCAGAGTCACAATCAGTGTGACTCCTGATCCAGCCTTGGCCGTAGTACAGCATGAATACTCTTAAAATTGTTAGAGGAAACTGGGAAGAATGGCATGTCTAAGTGTGGTGTGTTTGGTGTCTGTGTGCGTGCGTTGGTAGCTTTGCTTAGAAAATTTTCAACTGGAACTCTCTCAAACATAAACTGCCTGTGAATGTGATGTGATGCGAGATTAGGGCTGGTGTCAGTGTGGCTCCAGCCGACCACACCCTAAACATGACACTGTAAGAAGCTGTTGAAGTGAATCAGACAGTGGAATGAAAGGACAGGCGTAGAAATTCAAATAAAATGCAAGAAAGGAAGAGAAAAGAGGGTTCAATCTGTGTATTTACAGCGCAGAGGCAGAGTCCCATGGGCTGGGTCCTTCCTGTGTGTGTGGACAGGAAAGGGAGCAAAAAAGGTCAACAGGCCCACGTGGCCCTGAGATTGTTGTCACGGCTCAACAGAAAGAAACATCTGTGTGTGAAAATGGTCAATTTTGTGGTTGTGTTGGGCCAATCAGAGGTCCAATGGGTCTCAAAGGACTTGTAACTCAAGGTCGGTTAGTTTTTGGAGGAGTACCTAATCTTGATGTTGTGTTTTTTTTTGGTGTTGTTTTTTTAATCCACCACATTGAGCTACATTGCTGTTGCTGATATCTATTAAAACTACAAGCAGATATCGAGGCTGTGAATGTGAACAGTAACGAGGACCCGCAGAACATGAGATGGATAACTTACAGGATTATTTGATCCTGCGTGAGAAGCTTACAATCAAAAGTCAGGAGAAGAACATAAGACATAAGACATTCAAAATGAGAAACAGGGCGCTTTGCTCAAGAGAGTCATCACTGCAGTGCCACATTTTTAAAAGGGTGTGTGTCTGCGCCAAACAGTCGGAGAGCTGAGGTCAAAGGTCAAAATCATCAGTATCTACAACATAAGGAATCTGTCTAAAACACACACACACACTCACAAACTCACCGGTCTGCAGCTCCGACCACAACTCTCCTGTTCCACTCTCCACCAGGAAGGTCCTGCTGTGCCTGGATCGTCTCAGCTGCTCCCTCGCTGCAGCACACACGCACACACACAGACACACACACACACACACACAGAAAATGCAATCATTTTTAAAACCTGTAACATGTTGGATTTCTCTTGTGCAGCTTTGATGAGTCTCTCTCACTCTATTCAAACAGGAAACTAGGCATAAAAATCTCAACACATAGGCATAATTTCATAAATTAAAAGGTTAAAGGTAAAACGTTCAAGACAGTTGCCAGCCTTTCCGGGTGTGGAGGTCCAGGCAGGCTCTCGGAGTCACAGCCACCTCTCACCACCTCGCACTGCTTTGCCGGCTTTTAGACGTGTTTGTGTATGTATAAACACACTTAATGTACTGCCAGACACCCAAGCTCGTGTTTGTCCAGATCTCAGCGCGAAGTGGTTCAATCATCACATAAACATAATCACTTTCAAACAAATGAGGACTATCAGTATAAACCAGAAAGTCAAAACAATTTTCAGTGCCCGAAAGTTCATTACATTATTGCTCAGATCCAGCTGAAGTCTTTGGGTCCAAGTAAAACAAGGACAACATAGGATCAGAATGTTTTTGCTAGAAAGGAGGAATTTTTTGTGGAAATTAAGTACGCTCTCAAATTCCAACTTTGTATTTGCTCTTAATGTGTAAACCGAGTGAGTGGCAGCGTAAGAACGTGGGCCTGAAAGCCAACTAAAACAGAACACAGTCATGGAGCGCAGATACACTGATATGCCTTAATAAATGCAGGTGAGCACACATAAATGAGACATAGCAGCTTTAAAAGCTTATCAAATGTCAAAGAAGTGGGAGAGTGTAGTTAGAAATCAGAAAATGTGTTCATCCTTTCTTGGTTTTGATTGAAAAAAGTTCATAGGTGAGACTTAAAAAGAGATTTGGAAGTAAATGCAAGTGAGTCACAATCCATTAGCAAACTGCCCCGAGTCTGATGCATGATGAAAGTGGCTTTTAGTTGTTTCCATAAAACAGTGCAGTACTATAAATCTTAAGCATTTTCAACAGGAGAAACGTGGATTTCTGGTGGTGAAGACCGAAATGAGAACAGCAAAATGGGAAAAAGAAAAGAGATGAAATAGTTACTGAACAACAGTGTTTTGAAAGCAGAGCACTCAGTTGCTTTTTATATGACGCAGGAGGTAATGCATGCAAGCGTGATACGAAGCGTGCACGTGTGTGTGTGTGTGCACGGTAAATGAAGCCGAACAAAGACCACCACAATCATGTGCGACTTGATTTCATGTGTATGTTTGTTCGGGCTGATGAGCGGAACGCAAGTCTGGAAACCATTTACACGAAACAGCAGAAAAGTAACTGTACATGTGCGTTTGTGTGCGTGTTAATGACTCCCCTGTGCTATCTTTGGAGACGAAATGAGGTGGAAGAAAAAGCTAAAGATAGAAAGAAAAAAAACAAGCCTGCGATTTCAAAAGTGTGTAAATATGTCTGTTTGTGTGGTGATGTGTGTCCTGGAACAGGATCAGTGTTGCAAGAGAAAGAGATGGAGAGAAAATGCAAAGAATAAAGAACGCAAGTGAGAGAGGGAGAGTGACAGGGGTGAGATCATAGTCTCAAGGCACCTTGTTCCAATTACAATATCCTGTGTTTAGAGTGTGTGAATGTTCTTTGTGCGCCTCTTACTGACTGCATATGTATAAGTGGGCCTTTGCAGGGGAATTTGGACGGCATGTTCGCCCGCTGAATTATGCATCAGCCTCCTTTCTCCCAGCTTGAAATCACTTTTGTTCTTTGCTGCGTTTTAGTGACATTTCCATCTTGCCAGCAGACATGCCATTAGAGTGTGACAAACACTCTGCTCCTCAGCAAGTTCTGAATACATTCCTAAAGCAGCACCTCAATTAATTGATTTCTGGGGGGATTTTCTTTTTTCATCTGTAAAAAACTGCAAATTACACAGCAATGCGGGAATAACGTTTGTAGAGATTTGAAATATTTTCCCATCAGTACTACATAGTAGCATGAAAAGATTTATGCGATGAAGGGACGCTGCCAAAAATCCGTATGGGAAGCCTGTAGACTCAACTCTGTACTAAAAGGGATGCGATTCGGTTCTGGACAACCCTGAATGAGCTCAAGTACACTTCCAGAAACCCCTGCCTGTGAACATAGCTCACTCTGCCATCCACAAATGCAGGTTAAAGTGCAAATAAATCACAGAACCCAGGAATCACAAGTGGAAAACTGCACTGCAGTCGGACCAATCAAAAAAATATCACTATTCATTATGCTCGCATTCAGAGAACAGAGGGCCATGCTTCTTTCATCAAAACAATGCTGAGCAACAGTGCATCTGTTACAGCGGCATATCTTCATAGAATACAAAGAGTCTCAGTGTTGGAGTGACATATTACTGTCCTGAAAACAAAAGATTTGACACTGTTGAGCAGACCGAGCCCTAAAACAGACAAACATTAATGACGTTCCTCACCCAAAGTGAATCCAAATGGTTTTAAGGCTTCTTCCAAAAGACAAACATCACCTTTTCCAGCATTTCTGAGACAAGGCTGCTAATAAACTAGGGATAAACTAATATATGTCACCAGATAATTCTTTTTTTTTCTATAGTTATAGGAACTAGAATATATTGCCAGTTTATTGGAGTTGAATACTGTTTACTGTTTAGAAAGAAGACATTTTGTGATTAAGGTGCTTAGCACTTTACATGTCCACCCCCCCTTGCAATTCAAGCACTGTAGCAAAAATGTGCAATAAGGAAAATGTTATTACTTTAGGGCAACTTTATAAGCGTGCTGTTCACTTTTCACAGCCAGTTTGTCTGGTCCTGAGAAAAAAATAAAGTCCTCCCCCCTAGGAGGTGATATTTTCACTGCTACAGTATTTCTTTGTTCACATACAAAACCCTCTGTGGTCATGGTTACACAAGCTAGAAAAGCATATCCAGATTCAACTGGATTTCTGTATTGTTCATCTAACTCTGACCTCTGCAAAGATCGAAGTTTGAAATAACTTATTTTGTAGCATGCACCTAATCTTCCCAGTTTAGAAACAACCAACTAAAGTTATCATATGGAATCGTAACTCTCCGTCTGCATCCACAACCAGTTTAAAACAGCAGAGCAGCCTTGAAAAGAAAGTGAAGGTATTCATATTGTCTTCATAAATGTATTCATTTACCCGTTATTGATTGGAATATGAATATAGGATATTTTTAATTGCTCCAATAGGCAAATCTACACCTTATGAAAAACTAAGCACAATAACCCCTGTAATTGTCTGTGAAGAAAGATACAATCTAAGAAAGTTTCTTATCTGGAGCTCCAATGTACCGACAAATTACACAGGAGAGGGTCATTCCAACAAATGCACACTGTGTAGTTAAAGTGAAACACACAGAGAGCTGGCACAAAATACAAACCTAACTTAACTCTGGCCTCTCTGGCACAGTATAAAGTTAATTCAATAACATTGCTTTGAGATGCAGAATCTTTCCTCTTTGTGGGAACCCTGTGGTCTGTTTCACAATTGCTTTCGTCCTCCTGCTCCCTCCGCTCATGTTTCTATCTCCTCTTCTTGACTGTCGGCTCTACATGAAACATATGGCCTGTTCAAAGCTCTGTGTGCATCTGTGAGCAACCCCCCCCCCACACACAAGTCATCTGAGGGTAAAAACACGAGCAGTTTCTGAGGTCAGATGGTTACCCTCGGTGCTCTCTCTTTGTTTTTCTCAGATACACAGTTTCAGCCTTTGAAAAAACAAAAAGAAAACACAATCCCCATGTGAACTCAAACAACAACATTTACAGGAACAGTGTGGTTTCATGCTTATGCTAATGGCAAAGTCTTCAAAAGAAAGGAAAAATTGTGCACACACTCTGTGTTTTCTCTACCTTGTCTGAAGCTGGAGTCAAAGGGCCGAGAGCCATCGAGATCCAGCCCGTTTGTGATCGGCTGCAAGCTGAGGTCGATCACCTGGTGGAGGCGGAGCTTCCGACAGTAAATGGATGCCGCCTCTGGTTCTAGAGCAATAAGGAGCTGCTCTGGACAGTCAGGAGACACCAAACCAGCCTGAGGGACACAGTACAAATCTGAGTTTCAGTAAAAAGGCATAAACCAGAGCAATCAGTACATGTTTGGACTAAATAAATCTATATCACTGACACTAAGTTAAATTTTTACCAAACTCATTCTCTGTCTCAGCCCTGATGTAAACAGGACTAAATGGATGTAAAGATATATGCATGGCCTATAGGAATGATGGGAAAAAGCTTGGTAACAAACTGAGAAATAAAAAAGGGGTCCTACAATGTCATTAGGAAAACCAAAAAGAACTGCAGCCATGAGGCATTTGCATCAACAGCGGCCCATTTTATCCATCATACTGCACAGGCATAGTCTATTTAGTATGTAAGTTTATAGTTAACATTTTGACTGTATTCCAGGTATTACAGCTTTACTTTCCAATTCTGAATTGGAAAAATCTCTCAAGTAATTCTTTTCAGAGACGCCTAAACCTGTTTGTGCAATTAAAAGATTAAAAATGGTTTATTAAAAAGCCATAAAAACAAAATTACGTTATGCAATTCATGATGACATTTGGATGGAGGGTGGGACAAGTTGTGGAGGTCAAGCTAAACAAAGTGGAGGAACATACGAGCTCTATCTGATGGACAGCTGTGCGGTGTCAACACACAGAGGGACATAAAGACTTGTGAGAGTGAGAGATGGAGATGAGGGCCTAAATTGGCACAAGTTAACAATTCTCTGTTGGGACGAAGGACTTAAAAGAGGAAGAGGCTTATAAATAAAAGTAGTCGGGAGTAAAATTGAGTAGCGATGTGAGGGCGAGTGTGTGCATGTGTGTGTGCAGGGCGGGGGTCTAGTCTCGACTTCCTGTGTTTGTATGCCGGTCTCCCTTATTGTTCACTCTTAATGACATCATCACCAGCAGGAAGTGCACACGCCCCGATGGCCTCAAGCCAGGAGCCAGCACCAAGTGTGCACGTTATCAGTGTGCATGTGGAAGTGCGTGCACTTTTCATGTGCTTACCTGTGTGAGTGAGTGGCGGCTAACAGAGCTGGTTAATACTTTAGTCTGCACACGCGTTCAAAACGCTGTTTGTGTTTGTTTGCAGGAGTCGAAAGAGAATCGCCTTAAGGATAACAGGCTTTATAGTCTGTGTCATCGGCTGCTCCCTTCTCAACGATGCATTCTTGTCCATGCACACAGTTCCTACAAGTCATGGTAACGTGTACAGTTCACGGTGGATGGGAATAAGTTTTGGAGGGAAGTCGCACACACAGAAAAGAGGGAAAAGTGCAGCGTTATGATTTGTGTGTTTGTGTGCAGAGAGATCGATCCGCTGTGGGAAAATGAACCAGACAGTCTTAATCTTGTGCTTTTACATCGCCTTTCTTTCCATCTCCATGATGTTCTTCTTTCTTCCTTGTCATACCGACATACAAATGCCCACACTGGCAAAGAGTTTGCCTTGATTCTCTCAGTTTAGTGTATAAAAAAGGAAAGAGTTATTCGATGCTACATGGAGTGTTTTTAGGGCTATTTTCAAAGAGGTTCTGACATCTTTAGAAAGAAACTGATACAAGAGCTTCAGCCTGTGGTTCGTTAATATGTTTGAACCTCAACTGAACCCACACAGTTTCGGTGTCTTCTGGCAGCGACACAATAATGCAAATTAAACTCTAAAACCTCAAATTACCCCCACAGGTGCCCTTTGTATGAAATAATAACATATAGAAGATTTTGATTCATTAAAGACAAATGCCCAACTTGACTTAAAATGGGGCCTTTGTTAAAAGACACACACAAAGCCCAATTTTCACTATGAGAGGGGACCTATGCAGAATGTTTCAAGGTGGATAATTGGTTACAGGGATGTGTTGGTGGGAAATCCTCCCACACTACAGAAACATTTTCTTTTAATTAGAGGGGTAGTTTAGACTAACCTGAAAGCACAAGGGGCTCTTTGGATATGCTCCTCTAATGCAAACAACTATCTGCGTGCCTGGAAATAGGTGTTAAAGTATTTATTTGTGGGTGTAAATGACCTACCAGGTACGCTGCCTCTCTCATAAACTGCTTGGCAGGTTGTCTCCACACTGCAGGGACAGTAATCACCCATCTGATCTCCTCTCCCTCCAAGACTGATGAAGACTGGTCTTTCACCTCCTAAAGGACAATCCACACCCCACCCCACCTCGGTAAAGCATGTGAGAATCCGACTTAATAGCATCCTGACAACACTTGACAAAAATATTTTTCTCAAGCAGTGTGAACAATGATTGGTTTTTTTATATGTGAACACACACATTGTGATGAAGCTCTTACCTTCAGAGCATGTTCTCGGAAGAAGCGAAGGGCATGTGCAAACACCTCAATTGCTCTAACCCTTCGACCGTTAACTGCTTCCAGCTCTGTCTCCATGGTGAGGTCCTGTAGAAAACACAGCCAAATCTGCTGAAGAAGGATTTTGGAAGGATTTCCAAAACATACTTTCTATGTCTTTTTTTTTCCTTTTTTCCTTTCGATATTCACTGACTTTCAATAGCTTTAAACTTTGGAAATGACTGTCACTATCATCATGAAATGATCAATTTCTTACACTTGTGCTGTGGATCTTCATTTTGAATTTATCAAAGTAAAGCCAGTGCCGGGCCTCCTCTGGATCTAAGTCGTGGTAAAAGTCTCGTGCTGCGAAGCCGAAACTGTGGAAACGCAAATCGGGGGTCAAGAGCAGGCAGGTCGGGCTCTTCTGGTTGGCCACTCCGGGATCGCCACCCTCCCAGCGTCTGCAGTTGGAGCAAAAAAAAAAAGCTGTCAGCACTGGAAAGGAATCAAATGTAGAAGTAAAGACAATACAGTTGGTGCCTCACTTCATCATGTGTATGGCTTCTGAGTCCTTGGTGAAGCTGAAAGCATAGCCACTGGAGGTGGTCCCAAAATCTATGGCCACGACAACCAAGAATGGACAGGCCATCCTGGGTCTGACCTCGACCCTCTGCCAGAATGAAATAAGGGTGAAGAGAAACACAATCGGGTTTTTAATCAGAGGGGTTTTGCAAATATACATTTTTCCTTTCTTATCAGCACATATAACAGCTTCATTAACTTGCTCTCTCCTTCTCACTCAGAAGGCAAAATCTACAGCCTGCTTGCCAGTTTATGACATTTTTGTTAGCCACAGATGGAAGTTATTTTCAGACAATTTCAAAGTTGAGCAGCAGCAGTTATTAATCAGCTAATAATGCATTTGTACACTTTTGCCAAGAAAATGAAACTCAAATGACACACATTTATACACTAATATGGTATGCGTACATTATCTAAAAAGAACATTTAAAAAGAGAAAGTCAATCATATATCGTATGATGCATCATAATGCTAACCGACCTTAAGCTTGCTGGCCATGGAAGCTACCAGCTCTGGAAGGTCTCTGACTTAGCAGAGCAAAGTCTTCATGGGGCAAAGTAAGCGGGCTCGCCAGTTTCTCCAAATAGCACATAAATGCTGACTGAACTTGTAAAGATCCTCAATCACAGCACTGACAACTTATTTAGCTCATGATAAACATACAATAAACATTTTTGTGGGGGCAGGCTTTAATTCCTTTCCTAAATTGCATCTGCATATGGAAGCCTTATTACAAACCACTAATAATAGTTATGAGTGTATGTGTTTCTGAAGGCCTTGTTTAAGAGCCCTAAATAAAGAAAAGAACGTAGAGACGGAAAGGGTGCGTCTGTGGTGAGTGGCTGTGTGTTCAGATACCGGCGAGGGTGAGGGTGTGACGGGTGTGATGCTGCATTCATTTCTAGCTGAGGCAGGCGAAGATGGGATGGAGGCATTTTCACCTGGAAATGAATGGATGAAAAGGTGAGAAGAAGGGAATATAAATAATATCATGCACACAAACACATATATATCCAACCGCATTCACTACACAAACAAAATAAGTATAATAAATAATAATGTAATGATAATAATATAGAACACATTTTTGGAGGTTGGCAGTTGTGGGGAAGCAGTATCTGAAAGTAATAAGCTCTTTAAACTAACACAGAAGTTTATATGCAGAAAAAGGCAGCAGTACATATGTTATCAGCAGAATTGTGCTGGTAAGTGTATAAATGCACTCGTCCTGTAAATCTCCAGAGACTGCACAATTGTAAAGGAATGTACAGGAATGACTGGAATGTCACTGGAATCTCAAGTGAGTAATATTCCCCAGAGGGGAGGGACATGGAGAGGTCAACAGCATTTCCACACTCCAAAAGATAAAGTAATTAAGTTATACAATGTTCTCATTGAAAATAAATGTGTTTGTGGGTGTGTGTGATAGTCTCACTAGGTATTTGCAGGCTGTTTGGATCTGGCTGCAACTCATCAGCCATCTTTACGGGAGCCAGGATCTGCCGAGAATCACATCAACAGCAATGTTACATAAGAAAGTCCGAGGTCTGAGGTCTGTGGCTAACACCTGATCATCTCTTTTTCAAAAATCTGGTTAGGAATTGATTAATGGACTGAAATGACTGAAAATAGAATCCAAAGTAGAGTTTGACACAATTAATTGACACAGTTTATTGACTGAAAACCGTAAGCTGTATATCATGAAAATTGCTGAGGAACTCAGAACTGAACATTTGCTGATCCAAATTTTTAAACTAGTCCTTTTTCCTCCTGTTTTAAAGATATGATATAGTACAAACCTCTAAAGCTACATGCAGCTAGTTATAAAATGATAATACAGATAAGACCAAAAAGTCCCTCAATACACATCTTTATGTGTTAGAAAACTGGTAAACTTCCACGACCTACAAGATACACAGGAGCCAATATCTTTCCTTTTTTCATTTTTTTAATGGTGGGAATACCCTTTGCAAGGACAAAGGATTGGCCACTTTGAGATTTTGCATGCATGACGAATTACACATGTACTTTATCAAAGACAGGGCAGTGCATGTTGGCTTTTGTTTCCGGTCATAAGTGCTGTCCTTTACTCTGTCCATTTACCGTGCAGTTTGAAAGACACTGTTCACTGCGTACACATGTGGCAAATGGGATGTAATTACAGACATTAATCTGCCAAGAAGACAAAGTGAATGGGAAACATCCCCTAACATTTTTAACAGCTATTGTAGCTGCTCTCTTTAACAATAGATATGACAGCTGCTCACTGCCTGCTCACAGAAAAAGCTGTCTGGTGTGCATTTTTTGGATCCTTCCAAACACCATGTAGACACAACATGACTCTGGCAGTTATTTTCTTGACTTAATCAAGAGAATACAAAACGAGTGAGAGACAGAACATTATAACTGCTTTATGAAGAATATTTGTAAATGTTTGTGTATTTTATTGACCTGCATCTACTTTGTTTTGTGTCATTGTTTCCAGCATATTAAACATATCTAAATATGTGTGAGCGTTACAGAACTGGGATAAGACTGGGTTCTGAGCACTGGAACAAAGGTCTCTTTCTTATTCCAGAAAGTGTGTAACTGCATGTGTAAGTTCCAGCATGTGAATAGTGACACCATAAGTCAACTTGACGTGGTTCCTTTGTGCACACTCATGCAACATCTGTGTGCATTTATTCAAACATGCGTGTGAAACATCTGCGCGTTAGTATGTTCACGTCTACGTCTGCATCATAAGCATCTAAGCAGCTATCCTTTAAATCTGAAGATAACAACAGAAAGAGGACGAGATAGGCCATATTTCCTTCTTTCTTTCATACTCTCTTCAAGCTTAAATTGCAGTACTTTGTACAGTTTTTCTGTACTATGATAGGGATTTTCCTCAAACAAATCAGTAGTGAATGTGATAGAAACCCTCTGAGACATTAGGGGCACTTTGCACTGTTAATATCACAACTTTATCAGTTAGAAATGGATGGAGAAAATCTAAGAACCTGTCAGAATTACTCTGACAGAGTTATGTTTTTATGCAGATTTGCTTGGCTATATTGCAACAGCAGAAGAAAAACTCAGCTTGTGCAAACAATTATGCTTTTTTTTCTCCCCCTGTGAGACCAAAGCGATTTGAACCAGAGGGCATGGAGAAAAAGGTGTTTACTGTCCTCTGCATCCTCCCAAAATAACCATCGAACTTGAAAAGAGCGTGAGCCTAATCATTGCAAAGTTTTCTCTTTCAAGTTGAACTTACCTCTTCTGAACGCTGCTTGCTGGCTTTGTACTTTTTGTGCTGAAGCAAAAACCTATTTCCAAACTCTGGGATTATGAACACTTGGAATCTGCCTCCGAGGAGAGAGATGTGAGGAAGAACAGGAGGAAAATGCTACTGGATACAAGAGGATGCTCTTCCAGAAATCCCTTGTTAAAAATGCCAGACTTCCCAGCTGCCCTTCAAACAGTTTTTTTCTGATCAGAGGAATTTTGGATGAAAAAGGGAAATGCAAAGGAAAACGTTTTTTCTACCTGAACGGGGTTTGCAGCTTTGTCTCTCTGCAGTAGAGCGCTCCGTCACTCTGCTCCACACAGGAATGCAAGAGAAAAGTGGTGACACACACATACATTCAGAGGAACACAAAAGCACTGGTTGCAGGAGTGGGAGGGCTATGACAGCACATAAGCGGGGATTGCTGGGGGAGTAACCTCACCGGGAAATCGCCGAGTGTAGGCTGGAGGCTGAGGGTGGAGTAATCTTGGGCAGGCGGTGTATCCCGATTAAGTCATCTTGCCTTTTCACTTTCCTTCCATTCCTCACCATCCACCCGCTCTGTGTGTAACTACACTACCTCTTCCTGTCTTCCTCTTTGCTCCTGTCTTCATTCATTTCTTGCATTCTGTTTTCCCCTGGTCTCTTTTTGGTCTTCATCTCCTCACTCTCCTTGGTGTTGCACCCCTTTAGCCTTTCACACAAAAGCAGGAAGCATCCAGGTGTTTATGGACACTCTCAAACAAAGGGAGATGAACTTCATTCGGCACTGCTCTCTTTTTTCTCCTTCACTGCCACCGCTGAAAGAAAAGTCTTTTGAAAGATTCACACAGGGGAGTAAAAATGGAGCCTTACTCAGCGTATGAAGGAACAGTTTGCCTTTTATTTTCTCTTGGAATACAATGAAATATTCAGTTTGAATCTAGACATGCAGATTTATATCATTATGACAAACTGGGGAAAAAGAAAAAAGATTGCAGGGCTCTGTGGAAATATAAAGTCTTATAAGGCCTACAAGAAAGAAGGTCTCCAATCATTACAAGTCCTTTTGTTCATGCTTGTGTGAACTTTCTTTTCGCTATTACACAAAACTATGCCTATTGTTTCCCCATGACAGAGGGTATTGATTTTCTCCTCTAATTTCTGCTTTTTGTGCCGGAGAGTGTGTGTGTGTGCATGAGTATGTGTGTGTGTGTTTACGTTAGGATCTTGAGGTCCCCCTCAGACTGCAGGGATCTGATTTCTCCCCTCTGGAGCTGTGATTGAAAGCATACATTAACCCCTAGTGCTTTCAAAAGCTCTCTCTCTCTAACACACACGTACACAAATACTGGGACTAACCTGCCACGCTCCCAGTTCACAGAGGAAGACAGATCGCTTGGATATTTGAAAGAAACTGCCCAAGGTATATGCACACATGTTCCAATACACTCAGTCTCTTTTGTCCTGTCAAATTTTCAAATGAAATTAGTTTGTGCTTGTGTGTGTGTCTGGAAGCCATTACCTGGCACGGCTCCCCTTGCTGCCCAAAAACCAAGGGGCCCCATATGGATCCTGCCATCACCACTCTCTCGTTCCCTCCTTGCTATTGCCTCTTTTACTATTCTTACACATCTGTCTCTTGTCACTTTTTGCAGGCTGAGACTTTTAGGTTGGGTGTCAGAATTCTACTGACAATCGTATAGTGATCTTGTAAAGCTGTTTTGGTGACTGGAGGAGTTGCTTTTCCTCCATCTTATTATGAATAAAAACCAGCTGTGTTATCACCTCCATCGCGCTCGATGTTCATCTTAGACGACGTCCAGACACGGAAAACTCAGCAAGGGAAGTGATGGAGTCAGGTGACAGGAAGGAACCCCTGTGTGACATTCCTTTCATGAATTCCACATTATCTCTGAGACCCTGGAAGTCCTCGAGCAACGGAAACACACCCATAATATATGACACACAAGTGTGCAAGCGCATACACACTGCTCCCTCCAGTTCCTTTAAATAGACCAAAATATGAGCAGCAGGCTGAATCACAGCCTGTTAACCTCCAAAGATAGCATCACACGTCATACTGTGCATGTAAAAGACTAATTTTCCTGATTTTTGATTTTTTTTTTGTTCAGGCAGCATTTGTTGATATTCAATGTCATCCACAAATTTGCTAAGACAGTTTCATAATAAATTCTGTTTATTGCCTCAAGAAGTTTGAATAATACCAGTATAGAATAACTGTGGTGTATACGTTGATATGTAAATCACATATTAATTGTTAGACGATGACTAAATGTCCACATGAACCACGCCGTCCCTGTTTAAACTCAGCACACATACTGCGTTAATGGCACCATAGTGATGACTGGAAGCACAACCTGTGATTGAAGGAATTTTGAGTTCATCCGGAAAAATAACTAAAGTAATCTCCCACCTATGTGAGTGCGTGTAGGTGCTAACTTGCCACTTCTTCTTCAAGTGCTCGCAAGGGTGTGTCGTCTGTTTCAGTGTGTGCATATTCACGTGAATGTGCGTCTTTACGCGAGTTGCATTGGAGAAACTCACCAGCGCAGTTGTGGAGACCCAGGGCCACCGGAAACCCTGGGGTAGAAGATACACACACATATATTAAACAAGACTGCTCTCTGGCCATGAAGTCTGGCCTATTGTGTAATAAAAAAAACAGCAAGAGAGAGGCACAGGAAGGGAACTTATGATTTATGATTCAACAGCAAAGATGAAGAGTGAGATTTACAACAGAGGGGGACTGAGGAAAACGGAGGGGGGGGGGAGTGGGGTGTCGCAGCAGTGGAGAGAAGAAAAATGGGGAGAAGAGTTGAAGCCGGGTTTGTTTTGTTCTCCGCACTTCTGAGAGGTTCAGTTACAGACTTAAAATAAATGATAGAAGCAGTTGTTGTTTCATGCAACAATTTATTAATTCAACTGCAGCTGTTTGAATGTCCTTATCCTAATTGGTGTGGTTGTGGGTGACACGGGACAAAGTTATCCATTCTTAGAAAGAAAAAAAACACGCACCCCAGTCAGACCACAAAACACGTTGAACTGAAACCCATAAAGATTCCGTTAGTAAACAACAAGGATGGACATAGCAGAACATAAAATCAGCTGCATTGTAACACATTTAAATCTAAACTGAGGCTCAAGCAAACATCTGGTACTGTGAATATAATGTCCACTGTCTCTCACTCAGCAAACACACATCCATGCATTTTGAATCCAGCTGACACAACCATGAAATACCCTAACAGGCTGGAAATCTGTAATCAGGATTTTGTGTGTCGTCTGGCTTTCCATGACTCTTATTACCCAACTACTGTAAGGGGAATGTACACAAAATGTTACACACAGAGACAGAACTCTTAATATGTTATGGATGCGATAGAAATGAGTCACCAATAGACCGTAAATCCGGGCTTGGAGAACGTGCACAGAAAATGGATGGACGCTGTGTGCTGCTGGCCGGTGTGTGCCACAGTCGCCCCCCTGTGGGCGTTTAAAGTAATGCACCCTGTTAGTCACCAATTCAGGTGAAAGATAGAGGCAGGTATTGCCTTTTTTCCCCTCTTCAATCCTTAGCTCTATTAAAACTTACAGCGCCCTTAACATAACAAGGAAAGCGTTTACCTTAGCAATTCAGTGTCAATATTGGACGGAAAACTTGACAGAAGTTCCAAAATGAAAATGAACCTCACGGTACTCCATTTTCGTTCAACTTTAGATAATCAGTTAGCTGCAACACACAAATTACATTAGCTCCCTCGACATCTAAGAGCTCCAGGGTGAGGGTTAACCCCTTTTTAAATTGTGATCGCCTCTTATTAATCCTCCAATTGGTCAGCAATGACTTATTCACTTATTTTTTCTGTGGTCATTTTTAGGTACAGTCATTACTTGAGTAACAGTTATATGCAAATATGAGTTCACTGATTCAGCCATTGAAAAATAAACCTTTCACAGCCCTGGGAACCATATATATAAACAGGACTGATCAACCTCACAATTCATTTCTACATAATATCTATCATTCCAGTCCAAACAAACCTTTAGCACAGTGTTAGTGCTCGCCCTCTGAGAAAAGGCCATAGCTAGCTAATGCAGCCATGTTGTGAAAAATGTAAAGGTCCTATCGCTCATAAAAAGGCAGCCAAAGATTGAGCTATATTGTTTACCTACGTGAATGGAAAGAAAAAGGCGGGCGGACGTTTACTTGGACCAATAGGGTGAGCAGGCATCTTTGATTGACGTTGACTTCGACCAATGACTGAAAGATACAGCTGTAAAAGCGCGACTACGACCCACCGTTTTTCCCTCTCAACGTTTTGGCAGAAAAACAGTAGATTTGTCCGTTTTCACTCAATAAAAACGACAAACCAACGAATGGGATAGTGTTCATACAGCATAGTGGAGGTAACTTGAGGAATTTCCTGACAGCGAGGCCTTGTTGTGACATTTAGACCGGAAAACAGCGGTTCACCCTCCGACAGCTGGCTGGCGGATTCCCCCTGTTAGCACTTGAAGTTCAGATGTGAGTATGTAGCCTATCGGCACAGAACAGAGAGGTTGCTTGCGTCAATGAAAAAAAACGTCAGTACTAGTACGCAAACAAAGCAGGCAAATGTTCTTTAAGTTGTCCGTGTTTAACAAGGAATCAGCTTGTCCGGATAAGTTAAAGAATTGATAACAAATACCAGGGAAATGTGTCCAGACAGCTCGAGGGATCAGACTTTTTCAAGAATTGTTTAAGTGTGATAAGCTGCATTTGAAAGCTGTCGAGGACATGAAAACAAGCAGTTGTGAAGAAGTACATCGACATCGAGAGGATTTAAGAAATTAACATTTAATCTTTACAGGCGTAAATCAAAGCCTTTTGTCGTTTAGCTATATGAATAGTCTGGGGTGTTTGTGTCTCAAAGCCACGCAGGCATGTGTTATCCTTGAGGAGAGAGGGAAAAAAAGAGTGGAGTGGATGTTTGTTCACGTGCTGCATTCAAGTACCCATTTTGCGGAGGGATTTTAATAAAACCTTGTAGATCAGAAGTCTTTCGCCAATCAGACTTAGGGCCTGTACGAGCCAAACGTGTATATGTGTGTGTTCTCGAAGAATCCTGTACAGACTTGGACCAATAATAAGAATAATTTTTGTCCATATGAGAACATGACAAAAAAAAACAGACAGAGTGATTTCATTCATGAAAAATAACTTCACATACACAGAATCAAAGAGGGCTGAATGCTTTACATGAGATCTTTTGCGTTTTTCAGCCACTTTGCTCACAAGGTGAACCAATAATTAGAAATATGTGGATTTTAACTTTGAATTGAAAACAGATTGCATTATGATTAAACAAAGAAAGCTTTGTGAAATTTCTGTCAAATTGAACATTGTTGATGTCAAAATGTTGGTCCTTGAAGGAAGATAGAACAGTCTCAGAGGTTCACTGCTGGAATGAAATGTATCTGTGGTATGCACTCCGACTCAAATACCTAAAAACTTGAATTGGATTGAAAACGGCACAAATGGAAAACACATGGTGTTAAAACTAGTACGTTTGAAAACTGTCTTGTTCACAGACAAGCACTTTTTGTTAGAGCCTTTGAGCATATTTTAATGGCTCTAGCACTAAGATTAGCCTTTTTCAAAGTTTTTGCACTGTATCCTCACCATAGGAGCCCGCTTTTGCTCTTTATCCAGAGTAGACTGGATGTTGAGGCGGCTGATTGGGTCTGTTGATTGTCCTTTCAGCAGCACACAAGACGTCATCATGCGTAGAGAATGCACAATGCGTGTCTGAAATGGAGGAAAACGCAAAACCACAGGGATGTGTTCGGCGTCAGTGACAATAGTCGTTTTTTTAGACAGATGATTTGTGGACAGGAGGAGTTATCAGGAATGGAACATATTGGCATTAACTGTGAGATTGAGGTGTGAGAACCTGCTGCCTCTTCCGCTGAATCTGAGCCGGGCACTCAGTGCTGAAGCAGCTAATCCAACATACAAATAGTATGCAGACTCCGCCTAATCGTCACACTGTTTCTGGCGCTGCCTTGATACTGCAAGGCTCACTATTGCATCACTGTTTGACTACACTGTCATCGCTGAATCAGCTGAATGAGAGCGTCTCCATATTTACGAAAGGGGAAGGACAACTGGTAATTTAACACAAAACGAGGAAAGCATGCGTTATGGCTTTCAGCAGGAAAGTATTTCCTTAATTTTGTCATTGCCTAAAGTCTAGCCCGGTGTGGTGAGGAGGGAGCTTAGCCTGGACGGCAAAGCTTTCTGGTTATTGTTCAATCATTGTTTGTTTGTAAAGACAACAGAGTAGTGACTGAAAACGCCTAAAGACGTGCTCAAGTGTCGGAAATGGGTTTCCTTTGGGAAGGATGGGGTGAGGAGCAGCTGAGATTGACTTTCATTTTTTTCGTCAGATATTCTTCTTTTAAGTGCAGTGAAATTTTCCAATACGTAGAATTCTTGTCCTCTGAATCCTTTTCTAACTTCATCATAAGATTGAGTAAAGAGTGTGTATTTTTTCTGAAAATAACACAATTTCTGAGTTTTATCAAATCAGATGCTCCATTTTTTTCCAATCATATACGGTATTCAAGCATTCCCCTTAGCTTGTTGTAATGACTTTTGGACATAATTATGTCAGACCGCGGCAAAGGTCAGACACAAGTTTCGGCAGGTGCCACTCAATCAGTGTGATTAAGAACACAGAGGGTGCTCTTGAAGCCTCTGAGAGAGTATTATATGTATTATGATCTGTTTGTATAATTTGATTTGGCACTTTGGACACTTTTCCCTCAATTTGTTCTTCATGCTTTAAACCTGCACCTCTTCAAATCAGAAACAAGTAGCTGTGAATGAGGCTGCTTGGCAACTCATTTCCACTTCTTATTCAAAATGCATCGGCTACGTCAGGTCAAATTCCTTGTATTTGAAAATGTACTTGGCAAGAAACACCAATTCTGATTATATGAAACTAAGCTTTTCAGGCTTTATCAGCAAAAAATAATTCAATCATTTTGACATTTAAATAGATTAAAATGAGGAAAACGCCATCTATTACATTGATAAATAAATAAATGATACACAAATAAATAACTAAATCGGAACTATGTATCTGGTCGCTCGGGGTACAATCGCAAAGCCGTGACATTTCCACGTTGCTATAAAGTCCGTGAACGCCCCACCCGACCACATGACCGACCCAGCTCTGTAACGGTAGCACGGAGGCTAACAGGATTTAGCTAACTCGAGCTACGTTGCGTCGCCGCACTGAGAAATCCCACAGAGGAAACGACGAGGACGACTCTTCGTTGTGCACTTAAATTTGTGTAACGTTGCGCTTGAATCAAACACCAACGGCACAATGCCAGGTAACGTTATCCTTTTAAAGATTTGAACGTAAACCGTCCGTCGCGTTTGTACGTGAAGCTGTTCTAATTCCCGGAGCTGAGAGGCTTGTTTTGTTGACCTGCTTCAGGGATGCTGCCATGCTGTAGCAGCCTGCTAACAGATCGCGGAGCCTACTTTGTTTGGCCTCAAACATTTCAACAGTAACAGGGCTTATCCTCGGCCCACGTTCACGAATGGTAATACGTTTCCGTGACAGTTTTTATTAGATGCATTGAGTACACTTGGTCTATCTTTTAGCTTCGCGACTTTGAGAAAAACAGCAGTTTTCAGAGCCCCAGCCCACTACCCTTTGTTGTACATGGGATAGCCATCACCTTAGGCCCGTTCACTGACAGCACAGCTACCTGTGCCTATTTGCAGACACCGCACACTAGCTACTTAGCATTACCTCATGTAAACCATTCAATCCTTTCTCCAACTCTTCAGGTGGGCCTGTACACCTGGCTTATCCCGCTAGCATAGGGGAGATATTAGCAAATGGCGAGCCACGACGGCACAGCACAGCTTTCATGTTACATACAACTATTACATCATGTAAGCGGTTGTGAAGCACTTTCTCTTGAGTTAGAGTCGTTCGTCTTGAATTACTGTTTAGTAGTTTAGTGGTTCCCCAAGTTGAATCAGTTCGTGTTTTGTTTTTTTCCCCGTTTCTAGTCACAGCTAACAAAGTATTGTGAGATTTTCTTCTTTAGATGAGGGGTTATGGGCATTTTCACATTCAATACTACAATTTCTACTTTTTTTTTTCTAGTGAAATTTCTACGAGTATCAAGGTTTATAAAGATGTTATCCCTTTCATCTAAGCTGCTTATAAAGTAAGATCTTACTCGGTGTTGTCAGGGCCTTTTTCCTTGAGCATTTTTTAAATTGTCTTTTGTAGACTATTCAGTCAGCAAAATCTTAGAGTTCTATCACTTGAAAGGTTTTTTTGCTGATGAGCAACTGAAGAAAATGTACAAGTAGGCCGTTTTTGTGATCAGATATATGTATACTGAGATAAAAGTGGGGAAAAAATCAAATGTGCATAACAGCAAAGCAGAAATAGGAAAACATATATGCAGCCTTGGTAAAGTAGTAATTCATTTCAGGTATTTAACCAAAGATTTTTTTTATAAATTACCCAAATAAAAAAATTGACAGATTAATGTAATTTATTTATTTTCTGCAAGGGGCATTGCTTCATCTTGGCAAGTAAAGCACTATGGAAACCAGATATTTTGCCCCCCACCCCCCCTTTCCCCCTTCTGTTTGAGGTTTCTTTCTCACTTTTGTCGTAATAGCTGCATGCCTCTTACAAAACAGAATTTTACCTTTTTTTTTCTTCTTTTTTTTTCTTTTATCTTTCACCATGGAGTTTGACTGTGGCCCTCTGTCTGCAGGCACAGAGAATGCACAAGGAAATGCTTTGCTAACTAAATGGTACATGGTGACCAGCTCGGGGTTATGCAACATGGACATGTGAAGTGCTGCATGGTACACTTACACTCTCTCCATTTGTCCTCGTTTCTTTATTCGGGTTAACCTGCCCTGTGGTCTGTGTCACCTGAATGGAAATGCCTGTAATGGATTTTTTTTTTCTTCTCAGGGATTAGTCTGTGGTTAATTTATCCATAAATCTAAATATTATTTAACCTCAAGTCTTCTGTCTTCCATGCAGCTTCATAGATGTTTGGAGAGATTCATTTGAACAATACACTACTGTACTGTAAGAATGGTGTATTAG